GTAATTTTTTTACAGCAGCAAGAAGGCACTAATACACGTGAAGAAGCATGAGTTCCAGAATACGTGGGTAATTTAGGTCATGCAATGGGTTAATACCAACGTCAGCAAAAACCCAGGTCTGCCGATGATCATGACCAAAAGCTTTTTTTCTGTATCATCATAACGCTTTTCTTTTTTTTTGTATCACTGAGAAGGAGTTGAGAGCAATCCATTCTGGCGAGAGTTGAGAGCTCTCAGCGTTCATAAGCCAATCTTCATAATGATCATACCTGTGAGACATAGTTTCTCAGAGCTCTGCTCTGCATCAGATATTATCGTGCTAACCTGGTGATGGGCCACGGCCACAGTCAACCAGGGCACAACCCAGTGTGCAGGAGTATTTAAGCACAGGTCTGGGTGAAGATACTTGCTTGTTTATTTAGAGGCTTATTTTGAGGCTAGCTTTATTGAACGATTAACGTCATTGTCTGCCTGAGTGAGGGAATTTCAATTAAATGTCTTCTCCCTATCTGACTTTCTCTTGTTCTTCCTATGAGCAGCGGCTGCAGGCAGAACATCCCTGGGACCTTGGCACTGAGTGGCATTGGCAAGACAAAGCCCATGGAACCATTTGGTGCACATCTGCAGTTGTCACGCCATGTTCTGGCCTTCCAGTCCAAGGAGTTTGGAGTTCAGTACAGCCCTCAGCCCTACCTATGCCCTGTGGACCACTACACGAGTCTGCAAGGGGTGTTCTTGATAGAATTTGAGTTTTAGAAAAGTTTATGTTTAGTGAGTTTGGCCTTAGGGTGCCAAGAGAGATTTTCAAAGGTTAATAGTAGAAAGTGTTCTTGGTATTACTGATCTGTCCCTTTCTGCTGTTTCCCCATCTCTGTGTATCAGGAATTTGGGGGGGGGGGGGGGTGCTGACTCGACAGAGATTGGAAGTTACAATGGCTTGATAACAAAGAAATTTTTAGTTTTTTCCCCAAGAAACAGCAGCACGGGGGTGGAGAGTTCTGGGTCGGCCGGCAGCTCACCTCATCTTCAGGAAGCCGAGTTCCTTCTGTTTTCCTTTCTTATCATCCTCAGTGCATGGTTTCCATCTTCAAGGTCACCTCGTGACCCAAGGTGGTGGTTAGAGGTCCAGCCTTCTCATTCACATCCCAGGCTGAGGCAGGAATAAAAGCAGATGGGCAAAACATTGCCCCAGCTCTCCATCCCTATTTAAGGAATACTCCTGGGAGTCCTGCCCAGTACTTTCCACATCCTTCTGTTATCAGAACTCAGCCATGTGGCTGCAGCAGGCTGCAAGGAAGGCTGAGTTCCGTACTGAGGAAGAAGGGAAGAATCCATAGTGGTTAGGTGGCCTGGTATCTCAGCCATTCCTTTTTTGCCTGCACCCGTGCCATGTGGTAGAGTTCAGACTCCTCCCTATGACTGTATGTATCTCCCTCCTTCCACGGAAAAGCCTGAAGGTTTAACAGAACCACTCTTACCATGCCAGCACCCCAGTGAAGAGTGGGGAGAAGCGAGTTACTCAGGTATTATTGGTGCTGGATTCATATAGCTGTGAACAGGCCCTGCCAAACTATGCCTGAGCCCTGCCCTCCTGGAAACCAGCCAGGGAGGATTAAAGGAAATCCCCTCACCCTTTGTGTCCTGGAGAAATGCTTACGGCAAAGGACCACCCTTCTCCACATGCCTTAGATAAGACCCACAGCTGCCCACCACGACCACCCCCGCCCCCCC